CAGAAAGATAATAAACACAGTTTAAATATGATAAGAATAATAATTTTAAGCACAGTATAAAATATAATAATATTTGTGTTTACCGGGTACACAAACGTGGGAATATCTTAAACCAGTGACCACTATATACTTTTTCATTTTCTGGTATTATCACAGAATGTAAAAAATGCATTAAAATTATAATAAAACTTATCAAGACTTTATTGTAAAATATTTACATCATTAACAGATTTCATATCAAAATATAAATTTATGTCATCTACAAACAACAAAATTTTAATATTGGTATGAAGGACCGAAAGATCATTTATAAAAATGAATGTATTATGTAGATAATAAATAATTTTTAAAGAAAAAATTGTGTGGATAAATATTAAGGTCTTAAGGAATTATGTAAAAAGGGGTAAAGTGTATATATGCATATTGATATTGTGATAATGTAAAATAATAAACTAATCAGTCACTGACTGTCCTCATGAGCATAACTGCTATGTCTTATTGTAATACTAAATCATAACCAAATATTAGCAATTAATAGAATTGCTGAAAAAATTATTGTAAGATCATCAGGAGAAGTTGCAAGTACATATATTAATAACTTTAACAATCTACAAGGAACTAACTTTCTCCCCAATATATTTGGTTGTATTGATGGATGCCACACCCATACTCATGTAAAAATATTACCAAGATGGTTCTGCAATCCTAAACAAATTCCATCATTGATTATATATCTTTAAAAAAACCAAAATAATTTTTAGTATAATTTATATATTTTATAAAATAATTAAAATAATTTTATTTAATTTTGAAAATCCAAATATCCTAACTTTTTGAGACAAAATAAGAGATAGTCATGAATAAAACAGATGTAGTACATTGTACTCAATTTATTATGAAAAATTGGTATGTTTTACATAATGTTCTTAAGAATTTACTTTTTTGTAATTTTGATATATTTTATTTAGGTACAAGTATTAAGATAAATTATTTATTTACTGTTCAGGGAATTGTTAATGCAGAGCTAAAATACATTGATATATTCTCTGGTGGATGGTAAAATTGATGAATTAGTCTTGAATAATTCAGGGTCTATTCTTCCAATAAATTGTTACATTCTAGGCCATAAGGTTTATCCTTTATGAAATAGTGTAAAGATAATATATATATAATCATATGAAGATAATGGTCATTTAGCTACCATTCAAACAAATCCAACCTGGAAACTAATTAGCATGCAGTAATACTAAAGTTCAAAACTCATTTAGTTAATTAATTTACCGATTTAAAAAATTAAATTGAATTACTTAATACTTTGTTTTTATAAATTCAAATTTATTTAATGAGTGTACTTTAAATTAGATATATTTATAAAAAATATTTCTGTAGAAATATAATAACTACAGCATATTGTTTGCACAACATATGTAATACCTATATATATAAGAGATGTTACACACTGATTTTTATAATGAACTGAACCGGACTTTTTTTTAAAATTAATGGACCTGAATCAAATTTTAGCAAAATTATTTGCAATTTTCAGTTCGATTTTCAAAAAGAACCAAACAGTTTGTCATATCTTTAATCTGTATAAAATAAATACAAATATCAAACTGATGATATTTTTCAACCAAATGCTATTGTATAAGAATCACTAGAAGAAACAACAAGTGATTTACCAAAGAGAAATTTTATTTTCAATACATTACTAATGAATTAAACATTAAATTGAAAACATATTGTATTTTCATTATTTTTAAAACAATGTTAAAATATAAAGAATAGATAGGTACATAATATCATAAACTTATTTTTTAATTCAAAATATTAGTAAAATTTAATGTTTTTACTTGAAACAGTATTTAATTAACTTCATTATAACAAGAAAATATTTAAAATTCAAAGACAGTAACTAATAATATACAAAACATCATAATAAACAATAATGTATATTTATTTTTAAACAATTCAATAAAAATCAAAACATTAGTATGCATAATTTTAGATTCTGAATGGAGCAAGGAGTAAATAGGTTTTACAAAGTTTTTTTTTTCCTGTGGACAAATTTTGAACCAGCAATATTTTGCTTCAATTTACCATGGTAGCCCTTTTTCTGAAAGGAAATCTGACTGGGGAGGTACTTTAGGGAGGTCATGTTTTTGATTTTCTCAATAGATGAAAAAAACATGGGAATATAGGTACAATATTAAACAAATATTATAGTATTATAGTTTCTCTTTTTTTTTACTACCTACAAGTTTTTTGAAACTTGATAAACATTGATTGGATTGTTTTGAAAGTTTAACAAACCATAAAAAAATACCAGGCCTTGCCTGGCCATTTATACATTATGATAGGTATTCAGACTGTTTATCATGGCATACACAGCCCCACCTATAAAAAGAAAAAAACAAATTTTATAATACATTTTACACTTGCATAATAGCTAATAAAAGATAATCTTATACAAACATAATGAAAATTACAAACTAGATTGTTCTAAATGTTTAATCAGTGGTGTATCCAGAATTTTTTTTGTGTTTTTTTTTCGGGGGGGGGGGGGGGGGTGTAAAATAATGTAATAAATGAAATTGTTTTGTAATTTGTGTGTATTATAATTATACATTAAATATTTTATTACTATTTTACAAGCGCTAATTATATAAAACTTCAAATATTTATCTTTTTTAAAAATTATAAATGCTTATTCATTTTTCTTTTTGATGTTCTTGCAAGTGCATCTATAACATCATTAATATTCACTTTGATATCTCGATGAATATATTTTAGTAAGGCTAAACCATTTAAACTTATTTGTCTTGAAGAATTTTTCAACTATGTTCTCCTGTGGCAGTAGACACTGGAAGTGTTATGAATATTTGAAGAAGTTTAGACATTAATGGATAAACTTCTGGATTATTTTGGAAGCATACTTCAATAGAATTTTTGTTCTTGAGTTCGGAAGATATTAAATTTGAATACTTAGTACACCACATATCTAATTCTTCGTTTAATATATGATCATTTAAATTTGAATCATTACATTTATCAGTTATATCTTGATATGTTTCTACTATTTGTTTGAATTTATCTTTAATATCTTCAGATATTTTCATTTCTATTTTAGGTAAAATACAATCAAAATTATTCAAAACAATACTGTGGAATATAAATATATCATTCAATTAGTCTAAAAAATTATCTATAAAAGGTATGAATATACATAACTTAAAAGAATATTATCGATTATCTGATTTAGATTACTTTGGTAAAATTGGATAAAAGTATATTAACATTTTGTTTGTATCTAGTGTTGTGCTCATGATTCTATTGAATAATTAAATTTGTGTGTTTATACATATCAACTAGAACAGAAAAACTATAAATAAACCTAAAATCCTTTACTTTAAATTCTTTATAAATCAAAAAGTGCTAGTTTTCATTGGTAGATTTAGTAAGAAATTTACTATACCATTAATAGTATTAAGTTTTGAAAAATATTTTTAAAAGCTCATCTCTTAATAGATATATCATGTGAATAAATTGATATAAACTAATGTAAGATAAATTATTGTTTTTTATGAATTGTTAAATATATATTTAGCCTTTTTAAAAAAGTAGATAAATTTACATAAAACATTTTTAGTAATATGGCTATCTCATTTGAGTCTGTAATCTAATTATGCCTACTTATGCCACCGAGAGAACGCTACTCCTTTGTGCATCTATAATTAATGAATTTCGCCTAAATTTCTTCCACTCTACTACCTATTCACTGCTGTAAATTGCACGGCTGAGTGGAAAACAAGGTTACAGTACTGTAAACAAGTATACAGTACTGAAATAATAACAACAAAAATAATAACTCTTGGTGACTGTCGCACATAGTAGGTACTAATATGTATGTTTTTACCTATACAACAATAACAAATTTTTTATGAATGCATTTATTTATTCATTCATACATACATTTGTTTAAATAATACCAAAAAATAATTAATAAAAATACAAATACAAAATGAAAATCAATTTCAGTCTGAATCAGATTCTGTTGTTGAACTGTTAGAATATGATGTTATGATTCATTAAATTCTGCATTCATAATTTCGTCAGTTATGTTGTTACATGTTCCACCCCTCTTTTTAATTTATCTTCTTACATTATTTTCTATATATCTAAGCTTGAATGTGTTGTTATGTGTCCGAACATAGCTTTTGACAGATGACCAGGTGAGTTAGTTCAGCTCGCAGTGGTATGGAAGCAATCTTAATATGGTTTTGTCTTTTAAGTATTCATCTATGACATATTTATCATATTGAGATTTTATTGTCTGGACTTTTTCCAATAACAGCGCTTTTATTGTTGGCTGGGTAACAATCTCACCTTTACTTTCCAGCCAACTTATAATATCTTCTTTTTTCCAAGACTTTACTGGAATTATATCTTTCTTAACCGAATGATATGGAGCATTGTCCATTACAATTACAGCATTTTCTTTCAGCAAAATTCTTACGATCCATTGAAAAAAAGTATCACCATTCATTTCTGGTGCAGAGGGTAATGGTCAGCACTCACACAGGTTTAGTGGTGGGAATGCGTGAAAACGGACAAATTTTAGACACACCCAGTAGTGTTCTCTCAGTGGCATGAGTATAGTTGCATTCACTTAAAAAAAGGTTATCTTCCAGTTGCGTTCATCCAATAAAAAGTTAACCTACTAGGTACTAAACATTTTCTTTCCCACTTATAACAGACTTAGAACTGTCTAAACTTTTATTTATTGTGTAGGTATGGTTATAAATGTTTTATAAAATAATTAAAACTAAAATGTAATTATATAAATGTAAAATTATATCAAAGTTCGGATGGTATAAATTTAAAGCAAATTAATTTTGCGTACTCAAATCTATTTATTTCACTATTATCATAATGACAAATTTGACGCTAAAAATGTTTATTTCTTGGTTGAAGTGATATTGATAATAGTTGGGTAAAACTTGACGTTTTACCTAATAATTTCAATATCGAGTTTTATTTTTAAAAGCAAATTAACAACACACTTTGGATATATTGTGCTCTAAAACTCACAAACTTGTTATCAAATAATTCAAACATTTTAATACCTGACCATAATTCGGAGATACACTTTAAATCGGGTGACCGCAAATGTTATATCTGCTTATCTTAAAAATTGTCAACTCGCATGCAGCCACCTATACTTTATCCAAAATAATAGTAGTCAGCGGCTGAGTTTTGTGCATAGACGAGGTCTTCACTACACGCGCAGAACATTGGCTCTACCATTCTGGAGACCTGAATTAATCTATGAACGACAGCAGATTAGCATAAATAACTTAAAATAAAATGCACTGTGTAGGTACCTACCTATGTCATCATATGTGGTACTGCAGTCCCCATCGGTTGAGCAACAGGTGGTTGACCAAGCGGGAAGTAGAATTATGGCGACTAAAACTCCGATTACTATTCTTATTTTGGACAGCCTACTTGTTTACTAAAATTATTTCATTACATTAAGAACACTATGGCTATACATATATAAAATAATTTATCTAATGTATTTTGATCTTACTGAAGTTTTGAATTATCTTTGGAATTTTTAGATCCTGAGATTATTTGTTTGATTGACTGGATAAGTTCTAGAGCAACTATTTTGCATTCTTTTTTCTACATCTAATATTTATTATAATCCTTTTTTTAATCAGTTCATATTTGCTGAGACTTTTATAATGGGTTTTCAAATGTTTTTTAATACAATTGTATAATGTGGGTTCTTCTCTGAAAAATATAAAATAGAATATAATACCTAGGGCAATATTAATAATTAATAAATGATCAATTAGTATGAAATATTACATTGGTAACTACTAGTAACAAGAATATAAGGTGTTTTAAGTACTGTAAGTTTATGTTTAGATTCTAATTTTCACGGACCAATTAGTTCACTATGTGAATTTGCCATACATGTACAGTAAATGTATAATCAATTTAAACATAAAAAACTTTACTTTAAATTTGAGTACAACAAAATAAATATAAGTTTAAATCTAGATTTAAATTATATTTGTTCAAAATTATCAAGACTAACTCAAACATTAAAGAAATACAAGAATTAGTAGGTAAATACCTGCAATTTGAATTCTTGATTCTTTGTCAAGTTTGATTCGACCAAGTTCATCCACCCCATGTCCACAATGAATTTTCCAATACTTGATGCTGATTATGTTGTAGAATTTTTATCAGAGATGGACATACTTCCCCAGTAGATTAGATGTGTCGAATATCTTTTCCTTTTTTAATATAACTATTTGATTGATGGCAATAGTAGATATTTTTGTACTTCTATCATTTAATGTCCACAACTTTTGATCACGAACATACGTGGCCATTGTTTTTTGTTCCATTTCATATTTTTACTGTAATTCTATAATACATATTCTTAAGCATTTATTTTGGTTCAAAATAACTACAATAAAAAAAAATTACCTGTTATTTTATTGAATTTAATGTCCTCCAACTCGAATTCAATTCTATGTTCTTCAGATAAATGTATTTGGTGTTTTAATACTTCTTGGAAATTTTCAAATGAACAGATTATTCTCCTTTTTTTTTTTTTTTTATTAAGTTTTCATTTTTATTGTTACATTATTATTATTACAGAATTTCTGTGTGTGTGCAAGCAACGGTTTATTGCTTGTATATTTTTTATTTCTAATGGAACATATAAAACTTTTTGTAGATAATGGATCATATTTATGTTATTTGTGAGCATGGTATTTGTCACAAAAAGGCACAAAAAAAGTTAAACTATGATTCTACTTTCTTTACGTTTTAACATTTTCGTTCATAAATTTGTTGTAGTTATCGAATGTATACAAATGATAAGATGAGTGATAATATGATAAAAGGATATTGGCGTGAACGGCTCGTCCACAGTATATATGTTCATGGGTTCATCTCAATATTCAATACGCCAAACGCCGATAACGGAACGAGGTATACTAAAATCATATTGTCTACACTGTACTTATCAATCATTGGATTTCGATTGTTTACAGCGGCCGCCCGCCGGTAGACGGTTTATCATCGCTGAATTGTTTGGATAATTTGACAGGCGTCTAAAATAACGTATCGTATTAATTACAATTAAATTCAAGAAATCGTCGTTTATTATTATAAACTGCAATGGGTCGAAGGAAGAGTAAGAGAAAGCCGCCTCAAAAAAGGAAAGCCATAGAACCACTGGATACACAGTTCAACTGTCCGTTTTGCAATCACGAAAAATCTTGCGAAGTGAAAATGTAAGTACTGTGTATGTATTAATGTGTGTGGAATGTTGTCACGGTCGTCTCCCGGCTATAATCTCTTAAGTAGTATTTTTACTATATTCTTCAGGTCACATATATTACGATTTGGTGAATAATTAATTTCTTCTGGCAAAAATTAGTCATTACTTAGTGTTATAAATGTTGCAGGGACAAAAGTCGAAATATAGGTAAAGTGTATTGCCGTGTTTGCCTGGAATCATTTCAAACCACGACCAGCTTTTTGTCAGAACCGGTGGACATATACAACGATTGGGTAGATGCGTGTGAAGCGGCTAATTAATATCGGATGGCTACAAACCGAAGTAATTAAAATAAAAATATATATTATTTATGTGCATTTAATTATTTTGTTTCACTATATACATTTAGTTTAATGGAAATGTAGCGCCTGAACATATCCCTTCAACTAACTATTAATCAATTTCTGGTTTAATTGTTGTTATTAGTACCTAATATTCGTATAAATTGATTGATATAATATTTTTACCATTTTCAATTTAAAAAAAAGTAATTTATGTAAGCGCATAAGAGATGTATAATAACAAACCAGCAGTTCCCAAACTTTTGGTTCACGCTATCCTAAAAATAAAAAATAAATAATTGCTGCCCATGAATAAGTTAACTACAATAATTTGTGTATTATTTAAATATTCAAATATTTTTATTTTTATGACAAAACAAATCGACCATAAATATTATTTAATTTCAATTAAAGTAGGTATATCAAAATATTTTTATTTGTATGAAAAAAAAAAAAATAATGGCTATTAGTATTTAATATTAATTTAAACAATGTGCTTATTTAATGTTCAATTGTTCTTCGATAAATAAGTGACAATTTTGTAACAGCCACACACATTTCTTTTTCAATATTAAGTTTTGAGTGTTTTGGCTGATATTTTGATTTTAATGCAGCAACTGCAGACAATTCTGATTCACACAAATGGTAGTAATATATGTTAGTTACATAGGAATATTCATCTTTAACATTGTTCCAAAATCTTATAAGTGAATATGAATAAAACTTCATTTGTAACGAAAAATCAGTTGAAATGTTGATTAATTGTTCTTCTGTAATTGTGACTTGATAATGAATTATCATTAGATCATTATCTTTAATCCAATTGTATTGTTTAATTTCTTCTGGAAAATATGTCACGTAATAACTTTTATCAGATGATTAAAAAACTTTTTTATTGAAGTCATTGGTAGTTTGAGATCATTATGTTCAAGAAAGATTTAATAAGAACTATTTAATATAGGTACCTAGTATTAAAGGATAACACATAGTGTGTATATACAAACAATTAAACTAACATATTCTATTAAATAAACATAATTATTAACACAAATTCAATATTATCTTTAACAAAGCCATATAAATAATTTCAATTTAAATACTATTAAAAAACTTCATAAAGGTGTTAAAGAAAAAATAAAACACAAATCATCAAATAATGTTGTTAATTATTGAAGTATGAAATATCAAAATAATATGTCCAACTAATACACACAGAATATGCTGTTATATGCGAAATAAATTAATAAAATGACCCAAAATATGCAATTTTAAATTAAAAATTAAATTTTAATTTGTTTTACTGGGGTAGTTAATAATTACAACTTGCAGATATTCCTTCCAATTCCAAAAAATAACAAAATTTTTTAAGTTCTTATAATTTTTTAAGATTAACACAATATTAATTTAATACTTCAGGATCAATTTTAGTCATGAATATTAATGCAGATGTGTTTTTTGATTGCAATTAATTATCCTAATAAACCCTCCAACAGTGGCATACCCATGTTCCAGTAATATTTAACAGTATTATCAGTAAAATGAAATAAAAATTTCTATTTTCCTACATATTCACAACACTGTATTACGATGTAAGTAAATAACATAATTTTAATATTATTATTTATTATTGTTACCGAAAAAAAAATTTGTATTTTTCTCACAGGTATGGTCTCACAGAAAATAATATGTCAAAGAAATTTGCTAAAATTCTAAATAATAATTCAAATAATGTATAAATAGCTTTGAAGACTAATAATAATTTAATCAAACATTTAAACAATACAACTAAAAACAAAAACAAGAACTTAACAAAAAATCCTCATTCTTTTGAAAATGCTGGTGTATATAAACTTAAATGTAACTGTAATAAATTTTATATAAGTAAGACAAATAGAAATTTTAAAATAAGATATAAAAACACATTTCTGAAATAAAATTTAAAATGATTGCCCCTAATTTAAATTTTGCTAAATATGTTTTATATAATAACCATTATATAAGTTTTGATATCAATACTGACTTAGAAATATTAAATACCCAAAATAACATTTACATTAATTTAGTTTTTGTAGAATTACACATATATACGAGTAATTAAATAAAGAAAAATAATTTCATTAATAACTTAAATAAACAAACCAATTTTAAAAATAATATTTTAGATAATAAATAATAACCAAATAATTTTTATTTCTTAACATATTTATGTCTAATAATAACCCCATTTTAAATAATCTCTTATTAGAATACATTTTTAATTTGAAACTGTACAATATACATATCTTAATAGACACATTCATTAATTAATTAATTTAATGTCTACATATAAATTATTTATTTATATATTTGTATTATTAATTATTATTAATATTATTTCTTTTTATTATAATCAGGATTGGGCGCTAAAAAAAAAAAAAAAAAAAAAAAAAAAAAACTAAAAGCAAGAAAAGCATTTAAAAATATTATTTTTGAATTCATAATATGGCATAAATTTCTATAAAATTGCTAGATTAAATGCTAAATGTCCTAAACATTAATTTTAATATATTTGTAAAAACCTAATTCGATTTGTATAATTTGTTAGTACTATTATAATATGTTTTAATATTATACAAATACATATGATGGGTACTGATAATTATAGGCTTTCTTCATACTTGTTTGAGTGCTATAAAATTCCTCATAACCAACCATATTAATATTGTGTTTTTTTTTTATAGATTGTACAAAATCAACAGATGCCAAAATATAAATATTTTTAATCCAGCCTCAGCATAATAGTATTACTTTTATTTCATAGAATTGACCATTGTTTTTTTTTTTTATGAAGTCACCCTATACATGTTTAATTTCATAATACTTAAATTTACCAATACCAATATTATCACAATCATTACATACCAACACACATATAATTAAATTTGGCTTTTTAAAAACTTATATATGTATAATATAATTAATTATACATTATTTGTTAATCTATTAGTCTAAATTAATATAGTAATAATTCTTTTTTTTTTTATCTTTTATAATAAACTTTACTTATTCTTTATTAAATTTAAAATTACATGATATGATTCCAAAATATTATAATATCATAATTATTATTATAATAAAAAAAAATGATTTTAGAAGCCTAAAATGTGTATCATAAAATTAAAATATACAATATTCCACGCTAAGTTTTTTCTTCATCTTTTTTATTTTATAAAAATGTGTTAATTGGTTCCTAAATTATTTATGTCACAAGGATACTTTTTTTTTATATATATGTATATAAGGATGAAATAAAATGTTTAAATGTTTTTTTTTTTAATACTAAGTCACTTTTTGCATGATAGCAACTATATAGTATACAATATATATTATTTTATTGTTAAATTATTAATAACATTAAGTTTTAAATATATATCGTTTGAAGTTTAACTTTTAGTTTATTACTTACAGTTTATTGAAACTTGTCTCACTAACAATTTTCAGTTAAACTAGGTATATCATTTTATTTTATTATTTTGTTTGATAGTTAAATACTTAGAGGGCATTGAGTAACATAACAGTAAGTATAACATAATAAATATAAACTTAGGAATAATAGAACATATTTTATTTTATTTCATTTCATTTACTGACATGTGTCCAATATATAATATAATTATAAGATAATTTAACAAGGTGTTTTAATAATATAATGAAAATAATAATAATAATAGAAATTGTAAACTATTCAAAAGTATACATAAGAAGATAAACAAAACAAAAATAAGTAAAAATGTTACATAAAATATAAGTTTAAGCAATAACAACTTTTTAAACATTAGCTATTTATTTTTACTTGCTAATTAAATTCATGATTAAGAATACAATATAGGTAATATAGAAATAGTTATTTTAACGATTTTACTAGGCTTTTAAAATTATTAATGCTGTTAGAAATAAATAAGTCTATATCAAAGAGGTTTCCTACTTCACAAGAATATTTTCTGATGAGTATTTACTATAGTTATTAGAGATATTGTTTAAATAGAACAATTTTGTTTTTCTTAATGCTATATTTAATGTAAATTTAAAATTGATTCTTTCTAATATTTCAGGACAATATAATATAATATGGTTTATAATAAGAATAATAAATGTAATTTATTCTGGGTGTATCAAGTGATTTCATGTTGAAATGTCTTAAGATTTCATTATAATCTAAATGTCTATCTCTATTTTTTTCGGCAAGAATGAAATAACAATTAAAGTACATTGTTTTTTATTGTTTCTTTATTATGTACATCACAAATATTGTTTTTGTCATTAAATATAAAAAAAAAAGAATAAGTAAAAAAATAGTAAAAAATATAAGTTATATATACGAGTTATATATATTCGTATAAAATCTCTATAAACTTCTTCGTTTTGATTTGACGATATTTTTCTAAAATTTGTTTTTCACGTTTGGCGATTTAGTAATCCAAAAGAAGCGGAACTCGCTGCCACTCGAGGGCACATTTTCAGTTTTTCAATTGACATTTAATGGCAAAAACCATGAAATGTTGCATCCCTCTGAAACTGGAAAAAAATGCAGAAAAGTTTTCTAAAATCTCCAAACCTGTCAAGTTACTCTTCTTTTGGGTTTATTACAAAATCGCCAAACTCGAAAAATATCAATGAAATCAAACCGAAGAATTTTATAGAGAAGCAATAAAAACAAATGTACTCAGAAAAAGTCATAGTAGCTAGGTTTACAAATCGTTTTGTTCTTCAACGCTCGGTTTCCGAGTAATATTATCAGTCTCGATACTTTTTGATTAGCCCTCGTATGTTATTGTAATATTTTTTATGTCTCGGTAAAAATTTGGCCGATACAGTTTTTACAAAATAAAAACATGTTATTTCGTTCACGTTGTGTTTAATCATTTATTTTCTTAAAAATTCTTGTTTTTCACATATTTTATGTCTAATTTTCTTTATTTGACTACAACTGCGAATTTTTATGTAAATATCTTTTTATACATTTTTAAATATATCAATAAATTTGTAGACATTTAGATGAGAAGAATAAAACATACCGTTAAAGTTTGAATGGAAAGCTCACAGCTATTTGTTGTTTGTGTAATTGAACCTGAAGAGACATAAAGAAGGAGGAAAGTCATAATCGGGGGTTATATATGTATTTAAAATATAATCTGTAAATGTTTCTACTTCTTTATTTTGTGATAAAATTGATACTATATCATTGGTAAAACAGTTTTATACTTTTTTAGGTTTCAAAAAATAAATAAATATAGCCTATGTTACTTAGGGATAATGTAGCATTCTAATGGTAAAATAATTTTTGAAATCGGTTTAGTAGTTTTTGAGTTTATTCGTAACAAACATAGACATCTTTCCTGTCTATAATATTAGTATAGATATATTGTTACTTCTATAATTCAAAAAAAAAAAAAAAACTTCAACACGAAACTCAAAATTTTAATTTTTTTTTTTCCATTTTTTGCATTTATTTAATGATACTCATAAGAAAATCAAAATATGATAATAAGGTTTTATTTCAGAAAAAGTGCTATCATTGTAAATTAAATCGAAATTTCTGGTAGAAAAGTTGTTCACAGATAAAAAATAAAATAATAGAAAATAAACATCACTGTTAAACCAATACATTCCTTATTCCGCTCAGAATCTAGAATCATTGCACAAATCCGTTATTGCCAACAATTTACTTAAATTAAATTAAATTACTCTGTCATTGAACAAATTTACACATCTTGTAACTATGACCACTCAATTATGATTTATTGTGTATTTTTATTATTTTTTTGTTTATTTTTTAAATTAGACGATGGAAGAAATGGACCATTCACTAGAGATTACTATGAAAAAAAGCACTAAACGAAAGTAATACAATATATATCTATTACACCTTTACGGCGTAAAGTTTACGCTATAATTTTGCTAGTCTGCAATGGCCGATCTGAAAATAATTTAAGGGAGATACACTAGTTATATAGGTACTATTAATACCGTGAATGAAAACAAATTTCCGAGGAGGGGAGTCTAAATTTGTTTAATATACTATATAAAAATATTTTTTTTTTGTAGGATACCCCTTCCCCAGGCATACCTGTTACATATAATACTATACATAATTCTTTTAATAATTTTAAAAAAAAAAAACAAAAAAAAAATGAATAAATTATAATTTTGTAGAGCTACAATGTGTCTGGAAAATTGTAATTCCAACGTCATACTTGAAGTAGCAAATTCAATGGGCATGCAAATTGTGAAATTTACAGACCAATGGGATCTGTATTGGTCAAACGTACCCATGGACTTAAAGAGAGCCAAAAATATGAAATCATTTCAAGTTAGTCCTCTAAAAAAAAAAAAAAATAGAGATAGTTTTATCTGTATACAGAGTGTTCCACGAGGATACATTAATTTTAATATTTCCGGAAATAATAAAGATTCAAATCCTGGTTTTTTATACTACTCACGACAAATATTTATATTGCAATTAATTTTTTATGTTATGTTATGTTATTCCTGTGAGTAATATAAACAAATTCAACATAATCTTATTATCTTTGTTATCTCCGAAGATATTAAAATATTAATAAATAACTATAAATATTAATATAATATATTACGTTTAACTTGTGGGACACTCTGTATATATAATAACATGTTCTGGTTGACTAATTAATTCGTCATCGTCTAGTCCAAATTACTGAAAGGATCTGATTGGAATTTAGAATACAGATACCTATTATAATTCAGGCATTCGCCTAGAAGAATTTTGAAAACTAAACCCGTAAGGGGGTAAAATAGGTGTTTTAGTTACTTTTGGTACAAATATCTAGTTGTTTAATTATTTATTTTTGTTCATTCATGGGTTACCTTAGTGATATGGGTGACAATTTGGTTTTCACAGACAAGAAAACTATTATTATTATTACAATTATTTACACTATTATCTAGCAATAGCAAAACATTGCTAGTTTAATAGGAAAATCATACCCCCAGAATAACCATACCCCCGGGTATGATTATTCTAAGATTATCACACCCTACTGGTAGCATAATGCTAGGATATCCTCCTGAATTCGTTTGCCGGAAGTAAAATTATTCTAGCATTATCATACTCCTTGGTACCATAGTTCTAGTATTTATATACCCTTCCCACAAATTTAAATCATCAACATAAAATCCCTTCCAAGGGTTTGGAATTCATCTGATTACAACCAAACTTTGAAACGATTTTTAAGCTACCTCAAGACCACTCTCACAAAATTTAGTATCAATTAGTAGGGATAAAAAGGGGTAACTTTCCAACATGATCGGCGAAGCATTTATACATCAAATAAATCTCCTCAGGATTTATTGATATCAGAGAATAGATAGTCAAAACGCGAACAAATTAAGCTTAGACCCCTGTAAAAGTCCCTTTTATAAGAGTATATCTTTATTCATCCCTTCCGATTGACACTAAATTTGATGAGAGTAGTTTTGTGGTGACCTAGACTATTTCCAAAGTTTGGTTGTGATCGGATATATTGGACGGTATCAAATTATGGAAGGGATTTGTATGGGGTGCTAAGTCAAATAATTTGTCGTTGAAACCATTCTCTTAACACTAAATCTCGCCGAAATATATTTAATCCAAAAATCAGAAATAGAAACGTACTTTTAATATGAAGAGCACCTAACATACTTATATATATTGGTGAATATCTCGCATAGGTAAAAAAAAATGGGTAAAATATTTTCAGAGTACATTCTACACATTTTTAAAACATAATCCATAATCCAAAGATGCTCTCATTCTATAGTAACTATAAACATAATTCGCCTCTAATTTGTCAGCCCGATGCAAAACCTTTTTTTTTTTTTTGCGACAATACTCCTATCACTTGGAACTGCCGTGAAACAATACATCAGGTGACGGTGCATAGCCACTTTTTTATAAACCAATAAAATGTATAATTTGTTTTTTGAAAAATATTTGGTTAAGATCAATTACGAATTTTACGAATGCAGTTCAATATACTATTTCAACATCTGAGAACTAAAAGGTTTTTTTTTATTTTAACATAATATATTTCGTTTGTAATGAAATTTGAAAAAAAAAAATGTAATCTATATCCAATCATTTTCAGAAAACGAATCATTTCCCGGGGATGTCAGAGATTTGTCGCAAAGATTCGTTAGCTCGGAACCTCAATACGATGATGAATTATTTTCCAGACGATTATAACTTTTTCCCTAAGACATGGTTTTTACCATTGGGGTAAGCATTTTCTAATTTTTAAGTGATCATGATCAGCACGTCATTATAGTAGCTAATTATAATATACCTTTTTAGTTATACAAAACTACAAAGTTTCATGAATGAAAACAAAAATTTGACATATATTTTAAAACCGAGTACCGGGTGTCGAGGAACTGGAATATACTTAACGAAATCATTAAAAAAAATTTCCCAACATGAAAAAATGATTTGTCAACTGTATATTTCCAAAGTAGTTAAATAATCGTTTATTAACTTTTATGTATAACTTAAGTAAAAAAGTTAATTGTTACGTTTTTATTAATAGCCACTATTGATAGACGGCTACAAATTCGACATGCGGTTGTACGTTTTAATATCATCGTGCGATCCACTTGTGATTTATGTTTACAATGATGGTCTAGTTCGGTAAAATTATTATTACAATACACCTAATTATATTATTATACAGAGCAAAAATCAAAAGCAGTTTAGTAAAAGTCGTAGAATTCATCAGCTGTCCTTAAGACACTGGTTATTGACTTATTGAAATAGTGCTTTAGTGTTTCCAATACTCTATCGTATTATGCATAGCTGCGTTATAGTTGTATTATATTCCGAAATTGTAATTAAAATGCTATTGGTATATTGACTATTGAGTATTCACAACACCGCCACGGTGAAGTGAAAAATTGGTTTTAATAATTTATACGAGTATAAGCTAACAAAATATAAAATACAAAAGTTGAAAGAAAATAAAATAAAACCGTACAGTAAAATATTATGATGAAGTAATTTTAAAAAATATTTCAAACATCCTAATACTGCTTAAATTGATTTTTTTTTTAAAAAATATAAGTATTCAAATATTTTGCATAAAAAATTTAACAACCGCGCGAATTATTTTAAGTAAACATATTGCACATCCACTATAAATATGCGCAGATACTCATATATTAATATTACCCTATTAACAATGTGAGCAATATTTATTTGTTGAAAAAAAAACAGGTGTACGTCAGTAATTATTTTAAATTATAGTTATAAGCATGATTATACAATAAGTTAGAGGAACGGAAGACAATAAGTGGAGAATAAGTGTATTAATGTGTTAAACATTCATAAAATAACTTATTACATACAATTACAAATAAGGGTTGGAATTAGCTAATGACATGTGTTACTTTTTATTTATCACGTTCAATGCATTATTTCGGTGGTGCCAAAGTCCATATATTTCATATTATATGTACCTACTTACATGAATCTGACATTATGTTTTAGGTTAGGGGAATTTATAACTCTGACGGAGACTATCGGATAATTATAAATTAGCATTCATTTTCAGTCATCATTATATAGTTAAGTTATTACCATTGCTTGAATTGGAAAAATAAAATAAGGGAGACTATAAAAAAAAAATAAGAAATAAAAAAAAATAGCGTCACTTGCAATTATTGACTTCAACCTAACCAGTGTGGGCTTTGGCTCCCTGCACTTCCCTTGCACAAATTTAAAAAATTCGATAATCCACTTACATTTAACACATTCCATAGAATACAAACATGTTTAGACTATTAGACTCTAATAATTATAAACTAATAGGGTACATAATTAAATAGTAACAATTTTATACCACAAATAATCCGAAGGACTGGGCTATTGTTCAGTTATAATTAATCGTGCTTATCAGTTGTTACATTTTTTTGACAAAAGATTGCAAACGCGCAATACAAAAAAAAACCGATAGTAATTTATTTCAGTTGGCGATAATGTAATAAATACTTTTTGAAAGTGTCATTATTTACTCAAGAGGTGGACCATCGTCGTCCCTACCCCCAATCCTAGTAGAAATAATTAGTAACGAGACGCTAAAAAAAAAAAAATAAAACGCACTGTACTATTTTAAATTATAATTTAAAAACAAATTTGAATTAATTACATCAATAGGTAACATGAAAATCCTTAATACGATCGTATAACTCTTTGTATGGTACAACGTACCNTAAGTCAAATTTTAGTTCATGAAACGGACATATATTTTATCCATTTCATGAAATGGAAACTCTTATTTTACACTTTGTGTAATATTTTAAATTAATTACATCAATAGGTAAATTTTCGTGAAATCGAAATAATAACATTGATACTGGTACGTATCGCACCGTACTATTTTAAATTATAATTTAAAAATAAATTTGAGTTAATTACATCAATAGGTAACATGAAAATCCTTAATACGATCGTATAACTCTTCGTATAGTACAACGTACCTGATTAAAATAATTAAATCAATAATACAGATTGCAAATTATAAAAACCAAATCAAAAATTACCTTATGTCTTCGTCTTCATTAGTTTTTTTATAAATCAAAAACTTTTGATCTGTAACGAACAGGACATCATTCATTTTGATGAGATAATAATCTCGCCTCTTTTTTTTACCACTATAAAATAATGTAAATTTCAAATTATAAACAAATATTTAATGTAAATATTAAATAATATTATTTAAATATTTATTATCTAATTTTTAATCCAACGGAATAAAACGTGAACTGCTGAGCGTAAATTTGCTATGTTACGTGTTTGTAAGACAAGCCCTGATGGCTGATTGTAATAATTTTATTTGAAGTGTCTTAATATATAATTTTTATTTACTAATATTTTGTATATTTTAACGATTACTTACATTTTTACTTTTGCTGCTAAANATATAGTACGGTGCGATGCGTACCAGTATCAATGTTAGTATTTCGATTTCACGAAAAGTTACCTATTGATGTAATTAATTTAAAATATTACACAAAGTGTAAAATAAGAGTTTCCATTTCATGAAATAGATAAAATATATGTCCGTTTCATGAACTAAAATTTGACTTACACGTTATGATCGTAGTTCATGAAATGAACATCCATTTCATGAAAAATACGATTACACTAAGTGGATACGACATATATATATACATAGTAGTTATACAATACCTATTTAATAATATAAAATAAACAATAAGTATTAGTTATTTTATAAATAAGTAGTTTTACAGACTATTGTTTTGTAATTGTAGGTATTTAGTAGGTAGTTTTCGTTTTTACATCATAGGTGATAAATATATTTGTACATTAGACTAGCAACAGAACCGTACAAAAAGCCTGCTCTTGGAAATTTGAAGAATTTGTATATGCATCTCACTAATTATTCGGTAAATAAACATAGTAAAATGTACGTCGACAACGAAAATTATGGAAGTAAACGGTGAGTTACACAATGTTATCATGTTATTATTACAGTTATTATGAATTTGGAATTATTTTGATATTTTCATAAAATGTAACTGGGTTTTTAGACGAATTAAGACACTAAACGCCCGACTTGAAAATAACGGCTATGACGTTCAGAGAATTTGGAAGGAAATCGACGATGTCATTATTAAAACCGTCATTTTGGCCTATCCGTTTGTACTTCGGAGCTATCGTGCTTATTACTCCAGTCACAAGTACACGGAGGCGTGTTTCGATTTACTCGGCTTTGACATACTGTTAGACGAAAAAGGCAAACCGCATCTTTTAGAAGTCAGATAATATATAGTTACACAATCTATTAATTTTTCACATGATCTGTTTACACATTTTAATTTTTCACAAAGACGTTGTATGCATTATAGGTCAATCATTCGCCAGATTTTCACACCGAAACTATTCTCGATCAAATTGTGAAACACAAATTGTTAACCGATACATTTAAGCTATTACAGTTGGATAAGAGTACTAAACAAATTATCGCCAGGGAGGAAAAATGGAGAATTGAACAGCAGACTATAAACTCAAATAGAGACGTTTAGTATGTTTATAAATTCATTCTTTTTACCTAAAATTTCGTGACGGTGTTATTATTTTTCTATGATTTCATTAAACACCATCGTTACACGTTTCAATACATACATATACAGTGGATTCCGCTTAATGTGATGACCACGTTGGGACCAGTTACATTTGCCCGAATTTAGAAATTGTCCATAATAATTGTAATGAGTATCATAATAAATTAAAATCTAGATCTGACTATTATGCCCATTTTAGGATTCTGCCCACAATGAGCGGTAATCACATCAAGCAGAATCCATTTTATTACTTATACTTATATTTTTGATAATATATTAAATATATATTTATTTTTTAAAAACCCATAATTGTTTAAATAGTTTATACTCAAAAACACAACAAGCTTCAGTTTTTAAAATACCTATTGATTTAATAATGAATAAATATTCATTATTAAAATAATATTATTGATAAAAACTTACAACAAAAATAATTTTAAAAATATAGCTAATTAATCAAATTACCACGCGTAATATGCAAATCATTTAAAATATTTGAAATAAACAATAATAATCGTTATACCAAGTTATTTCATAGTAAACAAAGAAAGATACAATGTAAAGAATATTTCGAACGAGAAAATAAGAAATGGGCAAGTGAAAATATGGGTGACTATAGATTAGTGTTCTCGGGACAAAATTCGAATTTGTATGAACGCTATTTTTATTGGAATGAAAGTACACTTTATCAAAACACTGTACGTTCGCATTTACGTCAAGTATCTACAATAACAATAGATTTGTTTCCGAAAGCTGTCCATAAAAAAGTATATTATATATATAAATTAATTTAATACAAATTTTCATCGTTAATTATTAACATTTAAGCTCGGCAAAGAGCGAACCAAAAGTGAAAAATCCATAACTAAGCTGGATGAACCGGAACCTAATCCTGAGCCCAAGACTACTCCTGAGCCTAATACTAAGCCCAAAACTAAGCCTAAGCCTACTACTAAGTCCGAAACTAAGCTTAAGTCTGAGTCCAAGACTAAGCTTAAATCCGTACAAATAAATACAGAAATAATGAACAAATATAGTGACGGAACTGATAATGCTAAAATAAATGTAAGTATAATGGAAATATATTCAATGGCAATAATCGCTGACAAAAAAAACATGCACCTATAGTAACTAATATGTTCTACGTGATATTATTATGACATTAATTTAATGCATATAAACGTAGTAAGTAATTCAAACCAATCATAATAAATTACTCTATTAATATTGTAGATTGAAATTACTACTACGATAGTCATAAATATAACTAAAATAATATAGGGCTCTTGATATCAAAATTCGTAAATTGCTATTCTAACAAATTAAATGCTAAAAATAAAATTAAGTTCAATTTTGTTTATCGTGTTAAACAAATACCAAACATTAAAAACATTTTAAATATAATACTTAGAAGATGAATAAAACGTAAATAATAATTGAAAATGTTATACAAATATTTGATAATAACAAACATACAATATGTAAGTATAGAACATTTCTTACGTACTCAAAGGGGGCACCTACATACATTAACTTGTAGTAAGGGTTCCTATATTTCATTCTTGAGGATTCTGAGTGTATCGAAGAATGTATTAGTTTTACAAAGATTTTACAAATTCAAGACATTCTTGAGTTATTTATAGACATTTTAATTTTTCGAGTTTTTTTCGTAATTTTTATCTGTAAAAAACTTTTTTACCAGAAAACTTACTCGGATTTCTAAGTGTAGCACCTTTTGAAAGGAAATCGATGTAGAGGTACTTTAAAGAGGTTATTTTTTGATTTTCTCAAGAGTTTTTTCGTAAAATTTAAAAAACCGAAAAAAAACGGGAAAATGTACGAAATGTATAACTAAAATATTACTATATTTTTTTTCCTGTGCACAAAGGAAATTTCACTTGGAAGGTACTTTAGAGAGTTAATTTTTGGATTATCTCAAGAGTTTTTCCAGTAAATGTGAAATCTTGCTCAGATATATACGCGTGGCACCAATTCTGAAAGAGAATGTTGTCCATATGGTACTTTTAGGAGGTCATTTTTTGATTTTCCAAGCGGTTTTCATATTATTTGGGAGAAATCAGAATAAAATGTAAGAAAAACAGACATTTTCGCAAATAATATTTTTATTGATTTATAATTTTGTTATTTGTTGTAATTCAGTTAAAAATATGCGTATAGACTTAAAATTTGGACAGAAAACTTATATTTGCTTTTTCTAGACGTGATAAATTTTTCAAAAAATTTAAGCTATTCTTGAGCTTATTATAGATATTTTAATTTTGCTAGTTTTGTACGTTCTTTTTATTCAGTAAGTACTCTGTGGCAAAAATTGTTAAACTTAACAGAAATTATTGAAAATTTAATAGAAGGTTCATTAAGAGTCTTAATTTTTAGTCGAAAAATTTAGTTTAATGTAGTATTTTTTTTTTATAAAGGAATTTCAATATCAAATTTTGATGAAAACCTAGTTTCGAAATTATAGTTTTTTGAAGTTCTCATATTATACAGATATTATATGTTAAATTAAATAGTTCTACACTGTGTACACATTGTGTTCTATATGTTTGTTATAGCCAAATGGTTGTACATAACTTTAATCATCCTAAGTGTCGCGAGTTTAAACCCGTGTCATGAAAAAAATAGTTTGCACTTATTTTTATCTTTTACTTAAACAGAGAAAAAACAAATACATTTTAGGTGTACCTAGAGGCCCAACTATCGCTCGCTCGGACTATTTTAATTGTAAAATATCATTTAATATCTCTCGATTTGTTGTGTAAACTTTTCTACCAGAGATCGTCCGATGTATCAAGTGTAAATTATTTCCTGAAAGAAAATTTTATCTCCGTGGTAATTTAACGAACTATTTTTTGATTTTTCTAACGGTTAGGTCTAATATAATATAATAGTATAATATCTGGAATAAACCTGGATAAAATGTGGGAAAAACGGAAAATGTATGAAATATTTTAGTCCTATATCACAATTTTTTTTTTTGGTGAACAACTCTTCTACTAGCAATTTTGCTCCAATTTACAATGATAGAACTTATTCTAAAAAGAAATTTTACTAGAAAGTTACTTTAAAGATATAGTTTTTTAAGAGTTTTCCCAGAAAAAGTGAAAAACCAGAAAGACCGCAGGAAAAACGGGAAAATCGGTACAACATTAAACAAATATTATTAAAGAAAATATTTAAAGCCTATTTAATTATTTTACTACAAAATGGCACACAATATATTGTTGACATAGCATCATTATCGATTGAACTCCCCTTAGAATCTTTTTTGTAAACAATGGTTTATCGTTGATTACAGATATACATTGAATTACCTATAACAGTAGCTGCTCCCATTTCGATTATCCAAGGATGTCTTTATTTTTTTTTTTTGTTATTTATTTCATATTTTGTTGAATGCGATCTATACTCAATAGTGCCAAACCCTATGTTAAGGTTGGTCTTAGCCCGACTCTTTTTAAAAATTAAGCATTTGGTCGCTTTATTTTGGGGCAAACTTTGGTTGCCAAACCGGATGAATACTTCATTACAGAAATAAAAACCTAGGCTAACTATAATTTTGGATAAAAATTGAACTGTGTTTAGTTTTTTGGGTTTCTTGACATACATTTCGCCTGACTATATTTATAGGACTTCGGCGCCACTGCCCATACTTAATTGTATCCTAACCTTAAATGCATGTAATGTTTTACTATACTTTTATTTAATTTCATTATTTTTTTTTAACCTTTTAGTTGTATAAGCATGGTATTTAAAAATACCACGATTAAATGATTTTTAGTCATTGTGGAGTAAAAATCATGTTTACACCTTCAAAAAAATGATATAACCACAGATAATTTATAATGTAACGTATACGAAAAAAAGTGGGATTTTTCGAAATTGCAATATTTTTCCCGAAAGTTTCATGGGAAGAAAATAATAAATATGACCACGACTAATTATTGGAGAACGAAAATAATTTTTGTGGACATTTTTTGATATTTTAACATTTATTCCCAAGAGGGTTTTTCCACCTTTTTTTAAAATGAACATGTAGATGTAAAATCTGTCTATTGATTAATATATTTTTATCAAATATGAATGCATGCAACTTGTTTGAGCTATGGAAATTAGGTCAAAAATCCATTACGATTAAAGTATTAAATTTCTTTGCGAGTAAGTTAAGTTATATAAAGGATAGTAACAAAAAAGTAATTTAATAACTCAAAATAATGGTTAAATTTGAAAAAGTAATTTCGATCACTTCAAATTAGGAAAAAACATATTCAATTTAAATAATGTGTTCTAACTTTAAAGCTTTAGTATTATTTCTTGTTTAAACGATAATTTGCCAATCGAATAAAACCACTAGTTACTACTATACCAATTTAATTCTTGTTTAATAGTAGTTACAAATAAATTATAAATATTATATTTTATGTTTTTCATTATTCAGAATGAAATTGAAAAAGACGCTACGTTGTCATCGATCAAAAATACAAGTAATTTTATAAAAAAAGAGAAATACCTGCGTAAAAAACCCGTGCTATTTCTTGTTCCGAAAAATCATAAAGTTTTAATGAATGCTATGCACAAAAATAATGTATATACAAAGTCAAAATTATTAGTTGGTTTAACAACAAAAAAATTGAATCAACAGCAAATCGAATTGGCCAAACGATCATTACGAATGCAGGTTGAGTAATAGAAAAGTTTAATAATCTTTTTAAATTCTGCAGGGTTGATAGGCAGTGTCGCCGAATTCCTTAAAATTTTGTCAGGTGTAATACATTTCAATACACCCCAATAACAAAACATAATCTTTATTTTGTCCAAAATTATAGTTAGCGTTCCCTAAGTTTTATTTCTGCGATGAAGTATTCATTCAGTTCGGCAACCAAACTTTGTCCTAAAATGAAGCCGAAGCCCGACCTTAACATAATATTTTGCATCACTGCTGATAGCCATGTATTTTTATTTTATAATTGAAAATACCATATTTCAATAAATTAGAATTACAATCGTGTTGTCCAGTCAAATGAATTTGTCCAGTCAAATGATCGTATAATTGATAAAATAAAACAAAAAAATAAGAAAATGTTTCCTGACATTCAGTCTCGTCTTTTCAGCAAATGCGTAAGTATAAGGAGCCATGAAACAAACTTTCTGTATTATTATATTTGCCATTGTTCTGTTTAAGTTCGGAAAGAAAAAATGTTTCTGGGATGGCTGGAAAGATTCTCCTATTGACCAGATCGATGAAAACGACAGACTCGACAATATATTTGACAGATCAGAACTTGTTTTCAACTTAAACTTAAAAGAACAAGTAAATACTAACGAACTATTACTATTTATTATTGTTTATATTTATGAGTCAGGGGCGTATTTTAGGGAGGGGCGATTAGGCGATCACTCCCTCTGTATTTATATAACTAGTATTTGAGTGTATCGATTTCAAATAGATATGATATAATGAAAAAAAGGAATTTAATTTTGTATCTTCATAGTTTTCAACGAAAAAACAAAAATAAAATTGTTTTAACGATTTACAAAAAAAAAAAAAATTACCAGTTATCAAAATCCCACGATTGAAATATATTTAGTTCATTTCAATCGTGCAGTACGAACGTAATGATAATCATGTAAAATCAACCACAGAACAACATAATATTATGATTTTATGTCAATATCAAATATAGTCTTATTTAGTCTTTTTCATGGTCTTTTGATATTTGATAACTATCAAATATCAAAAACAGGCCAGTGCGCACGATTTCTTCATGCGGGAGAGGTTATAACAAATTGTCAGTAAATAGTATTAAATTTAATGAATTTTTCATAGGCCATATAGAAAATAAGTTATTTTGCAAAAATACTGCAATAATTTTGCAATGAGTTACTCATTGCGGTGGAATAGCCCCACCCATTGCGAACTAATTATTTTTCCATGCGGTCGGGTGTTTTTCAGGCTTATTGTAGACAGACTAACAGCAGTTAGGCCTTTTAAGAACTGCAATAATTAATATTTATCTTATAATTTTATTCTAGTTTATTACTTATACAAACAAAAGTATAAGTATTGTATAAGTAGGTACCTATCATATTTATTAGTGAAGTTTTATATTATTGAACAATTCTCGACTATTGTATTACTAATTTTATTTATTTATTTTTAAAGCATACGATTATTACTCATGTTTCTAAATTACTAATTATAGTGAAAAGTTACAATCCAATCTACTGATTAGTCGTAATCTCGCAAATCGCAGATTCAGTTACGCATAATAATATGTCGTCAATCCGTATATAAATCCTTAAAATAGCCGATTGTAATGTAAGTAAATATAAATTAATTTAATGAAAAAACTATAAACTATAAACTTCACTAAATAAATATAATTGGTAATTATGTAGTTTACATATTATTATTGTTTGTTTTTTTTTTTGTACAATTAATAAAGTACAGTAAAATTACTATGTAATAATTTATTGTAGTTCTTAAAAGGCCAAACTGCTGTTAGCCTGTCTGCTATAATCCGATCGTTTGGAAAAATAATAAGCAGTTCGCAAATGGGCTATCCCGTCGCCCAAAAGCCGAGACTTTGGTAAAAAAACTAATTTTCTATATGGCCTACAACATATCGGTATATAAAAACGCGATGAAAGAAACTCATTATTGTATACGTACGAACATATTAAAAAACATAATTGATTAAAAATCAAGAACACAGATTTTAATTTTTCGATTCCTTTTAATTTGATAAAACCAAAACTTAAAACTTAAAAGATCCCAAAAAAATGAACTGGAGGTTTTAACCCCCAACTGGCTGTTTCTCTTATCTTATCACGAAAATGTGTGATTATTGTTGAAAAAGTGGTTGAGAAACAAAATTGAGTCGCCAAATCACCCCTTCCCTAAAAGGAAGTCTGAATAGTGAATACACTCCTACTTATGACTCGTAAGATTATAACTTGGATCATAAATTCATGACATTCAACTTTAATTCATGATAATGGTTTTAGATTTACGAAGAGTTTCAGAAATTTAACAATACACGTGAACCCGACCACGTTGATTATGTGGAATATCAGAAAAAAAAAGATATGCTAATGATAAAACCACTTAAACACAACGTAATTAATATTGTGTTTGAATAATATTCAATACCTACCTTATTAATTCGGTCGCAGATACACGTTCGAAAAAGAAAAAAAATTCAAATAGTTGAATAAAGAAAATTCAATTTTGTAGAATTCGTTAAGATAGTATTTATTACGGTGTTCTTAAAAAATTATTTTAATTGGAAAATTAAACTTTCTGTGTTTTGCTGACTGAAAATATGAAAGGGATGAAACATCGTGGCCCGTATGATCATCAGAGTAAATATTAACAATAACACCTGTGGTTTTAAGATTCAATCACCCCAACCTGAAATTTTAAAAACTCTCCTTCAAACGCTTCATAAACTTATTACAGTTCTACGGTTCAAAATACATGTTTTTTTTTTAACTTTTGACCCACTCCCATTTTTATGAAGTAAAATTTTTTTTTTGTATTCGTTTCTGTATCAATGTTGATAGTGTACCTAAGTGATTTTATTATCAATTTACTCAAAAAGTATTCTTAATCATAATATTCAGTGTATTTTTATTTTGGTACCTTACCATAATAATAATAATAATAATAATAATAATATTATTTTATGCTTATGTCTTAGGTTTCAAAGTTCACAATAATAATAAGCCGGTTTTCAAAATTTTTAAACTTAACCTATTCAAACTATACCTAATATGCAAAAATATAAATTAAAAATTGTTATTTAAAATGCTGTACCTAACCTATGCAAAATTGATGAATTTTTTATGGAAATGCATTTTAGCTATAGTTGTTGTAAATCAATATTTAATAGATATCTGTAGCCGGCTATAACAAATACTTACATTACATACTACATTAAAATATGTGAAATATAAACATTAATTAGATAAAAAAAAATACGAAACACAATTTTAAAATCTATACAAAAAAAAAAATACAAAATGTAAAAACTATATAATGTACTTTATGTAAACTATATTATACTTTATACGCATGTTTAAAATGGCTAGGTATCCATTTCGCTCAATTCTGCGTTTTGATAATCCGTCTGATAACCGAAAATTGAATTATATATTATTTAAAACGACAGTTAACGCTTAATTCAATACCTATTCTCTTAAATTCGTACGTCTGGGTATAATATTATAATATTACATATATAAATGGATATCCATTTCATTTCTGAACATATGAATTCAACACTTTTCAATTGGTTATTATTCTTCATGTAGGTATATAAAAGAGGTTTGCGTCAGTGGCGCAGCCAGTGGGGGAAGGGTATTTTAGGTGTCTATACATCCCCCACCATCTGCGTTTAAGTAATATAAATTTATTAGAATGTGTTAAAAACCGTGATTTAAATATGTAGACATGTGACACCCTTTTTAAAAAATCTTGGTTGCACTACTGAGTAGTGTTATTACATTGGTATACTTACCTAAAAAATACTTATATTTTATAACATAATTTTGATTTTATATTCCGAGCATAGCGTTTTACAATGCTGTTTGTTTTTTTTTTCTAGTCTTTGGACACGTTTTTTCCTAGTAATCTTCCTCCGATTTTTACGTGTAGCAACTTTTCTTAAAGCTCAAGTTACCTAAATTGTACTTTAGACAGGCCATTTTTTGATTTTCGATGTCATTTTTTTAAATAAAAGTACTTAAGAAAACGAAGTACAATATAACGATTTCATTATTTTATAAAAACACGGATGACGTTTTCTATTAGAAAAAGTGATTCAGTCGAAAAATCACAAAATACCTTTTTTGTTGCCGATTTACTTTCTTACGTTATCATTGCCAAACCTTTCGAACTTTTAAGGAATTTTAATTTTTGGGAATTTTGCTGTAATTTGGTAATAATACTTATATTGTCTATTGACTTACGTGGTAAAATTTCTATCGGACGACTTATTTTCCTTTTTTTTAATTTGTTTTCAATGGTACTTTATTTTTTTTTTTTTCTATACTGTAGACCACTTTTATTCTAGAAAACTTGCTGATGTTTAAATGTAGTACCTTTTCTGAAAGTCAAGTTTTTCTATTTGGTAAGTACATAGGTTATTTTTTGATTTTCGAAACTGTATTTAAAATAAAAACGATTAACCGGGGAAAAAAATACTTTTTTTTCACGATTTCGTTATTTTAAATAAGTACAAATAAGTATAAATAATTATATTATGAATATATATGAAGGATCCTTAATGTCAAAGACTGATTGTATGAACTAGAACATGTATAAAAATGAATAAATTAAATAAAATAATTGTAGAAAACAGTTACATAGTAACCGTATTAAAAAGACAAAATTTACAAATTAAATTATCACAATTAAAATTAATATTTATTAATTATAATTTATGTTTTATTTATCTATTATGCTTACTATTTTGTTACGATGTGAATAAATATTTAAAATTTAAATAGACTAATTGGTTTAGTACGGAATTACAGAATAGATATTAATACCTATATAGTAAATAATAACTTAAAAACGGAAAATGAACGACGTGACGTTTGAAGAGATGAGAGCCCGAATGTTGCGTATCACATGCTTTATTATTTGCACCGTCAAATTTAGATTAGGAATTCCAAAACAAAATAAGCCAATGACAATATACCAAAAAACATGTCTAGAATATACATTTAAAGCTACAGACTTCTAACTATAAAACATAACCCAGTGAAAAGGAACTTAAAATGCGAAATTTAAAATTTAAACGCTATTTACAGATGAAAAAATTTCCCAACATTTTTTTAAATACTTTTTAGTTTAATCTTAAACCAAGTTTTAATTATAGGTGTTTTAAATTCAAAGACTTAATAAAAAAAAAAAAATTAATGGATAATCCCCCTTAATGGAATTATATTATAATTCCTCATTTTAAAGGCGTCGTACTAAATCAAATTAACCATCTGACTAAATTGATCAATTAATCAAATATACACTAATATTCTTCAGTTTAATCTTAAATTATCAATAATAATTGTATTTAATTAATTAGTAATAGTCGCCACCTAAATATTTATAATCTATTAAGTAAAATATATTATTATTAAACGGTATATCTAACAAATCAATTATACAATTATTTAACTCATAGTTAGGGTACACATATATATGCCTTCAAAATTTGCTCTACATATATATATAAAAAAAAACCCTAAAAATTGAAAAACGCTAAAATAAAATTATTTCTTATAGGTAGTATCGTTAAGTCATGATTCAGATTTTGGTACGAACAAAATTTTTTTAAACCAAAACATAAAAATATGCACATATTTATAATATTATTTACTTTTCAGTTTTTAAGATTCTGAGTGTAGCAACTAAATATGTTTCGATAAATCTAAAATTTAAAATGAAAGTCATATTACTTTGTACAACTTAAAAATAAATTACGTTAGTGTTTTGAATGAATTTTATAATACAATTAAATGTTAACTATCCTTATCAATTACGATCGACTTGTCTTTTAACACTAAGTACGACCAATAACAAAGAAATTGAAAAATGTATCACCACTGGAATGTACTAATAAACTGCTATAAATGCTATAAGTTTTCTGTACAAATTAAAACGTTTATTTTTTTACTTAACGCAAAATCGATTTTAATAATAACAAATAATATTCGCTTTTACAGTGTTTTTTTCGGTTTCCCCCAAATATTAAGAAAATTACAATTAATATCAAAAATCGCCTTCCCAAATGCACCAATTAAACAAAATTTACTACCATAAACCACCCTATCAATTGGTGATCGGAACAAATGGCTGTAAGTCCGCAAAGTAATAGTTGTTTTGATGGAAAAAAAATACTGCAGACATAGTAAAACTGCACATTAATTTTAATATATTTTGGTTCAGTTTAAATTTGGGATGTATTAATAAAATAAACGTGTTCTTTTTTCTTGTAAAACTCTTCCGGTCAGTTTAAAAGCTCGACAATATTTAAACATAGACATATATATTTATATTTCATCATAAACCTTCCTTTTTAATCACCAATTTTTTTAAATTTAATTTTAAAGAAAGTGATTAGAAAAATAAATAGAGATAGAGGATTAATAATGTATAGGACCTGTTTCAGTTTGTTCGCCTATGCGAACGACATAGACGTTTTAAGGGAAGAGGAATCAAAAATGGTAAATTTATGTGGCAGAATAATATAATCGGCAAAAAAAATAGGACTACATCGTAATACGGAGAAACCACAAAATATGAATGTTAGTAAGAAACTAGGTAACGCTCTTTTAACCGAGAATAAGTAGGAGTTACAAGCAGAATAATTCAAAAACTTGGGCTTAANGTTAGTAAGAAACTAGGTAACGCTCTTTTAACCGAGAATCAGTAGGAGTTACAAGCAGAATAATTCAAAAACTTGGGCTTAACTGTAACACACAGAAATGAATGTCGAATAGGAACTAAACAAAGAATTAAAATATAAAATAAACGTATCTATTCATTAGGTATACTCAGCTCTAGAGTCCTCTCAAAAGAAGTGAAA